TTCATAGTAAGGTGCAAAATATGATCATGATGGTTATCACAACTTTTAGTAAGTTAGCTGTTTTCTTCTCTTCCTGTCCAAATGATGGTTGCCTCTTGATTGAGAAGATGTTTAGTGGAGTAGCTTTTGGTTGTTCCACTATTTCATTTCCATTTTAAGAAGACTTTTAAGAGATGATAAAATTCTAAATGAATTGAATTATATTAAGAAGCCTTTTAAGAGATGGTAAAATTCTAAATGAATTGAATTCTATTTGTGCAATTCATACATTAATCCATTCATGCTGGGGATGGGATGGTGATTTAGAGCCCATTTAGATTTTTGAATGAAGAAAAAGGCTAATTTCTGCCTGCTAACCTAGCCTATGAATTTTCAATTTGACCAATTCTGAATGACTACTCCAGCATCAGTTTAATTTTCTGGTTAATAGGTAGTTATATTTATAGCCATTTTTCCAACAAGAAAATGTATGCCACAAATCTGCCATTTTTTATAACCGGTAAATATATGGTATTTGAGGGAAAAATGTCCTTAAATTGTTACTGACTTTGCTGATGATACCATAGAATAGAAGGGTCAACTCTTTTTAGTTGTTAATTTTACTTTATAACAAAATTTAGCAAATGCATTTATAAGTCTCATACTGAAAAAAGGAAATTAATATTTTATAACATTGAGAAGTAATCTATTAAAAATGCATTCTTTCAGTTGGATTTCATCTGAGAAAGTTAATTATATCAGATATATTTTAAACATCATAGATTTAAATATTTTGTTAGTATGATAAAATTTGAAGTAAAGTCAGTAATTTAAAAAAAATGTTTCCCAAAATATTAAAAATGTTTATATAATCAAGTAAATGTAAGAAATTGTTACTAAATAAATGCTATAAAATAAATTTATCACCTTTGCCCTTTTCTGTCCTTTTCTTTTCATATGAATACTGTATTTCAGATCATATAATCACTGGGCACGAGGAGCTTGCATTTGCCATACCATGTTAGGTGGAAATTAACTATACTTGAAATAAGCTGAAATAATGAATTCAGTCACAAATACGCATTGTGGACTGGCAAAGTGATTTTTCAGATTGAGTAAAATCCTAACACAGCCTTCCTTATATTCCCCTTCAACTATTTCTATAATTTCTAAAATGGATCTCTTCTAGCCCTAATATATTCAGTAGTTTAATCACCTGTTCACTTATTTTTTTTTTCTTCTTTCTGATGGGGAAAAGGATGTCTGCATTAATCAGAGTCAGTATTTCAAGATGTTTTCTCTGTATGTTATGTCCTGTCAGTGGGGAAGTTTTAAAATTGTTCTTGCATTTGTGATTCATCTAAGCAAATGAATTACAGTATCTAGCTTTATATTAAGATGGTGACAAACTTACCAGCTTAAAGACTATAGGGGGAATTTTATTTCTCTAGGTTGTAGTATTAGCCTTAAGGAATAAATAAGGATACATATTCTAAAAAATGACTGCTTAGATTTGCTCTTAGTTGTGAGAACTTCTACTATCTTCATTTTTTATATAATCATTTTTCAGAATACTGCTTAATATATGCAGTGAATAACAGAGTCAATGTAGATATTCACATTATGGGCACATGAAATATTAGTGACAAAGTCATTCTTTAACTAATGAATTTTGCTGAAAATTTTGCCTGACAGTCCTTATTTATACTACAGTCTAGCAAAGGCAGTATCTATTGGCACAGCATTTAATATTTAAGTGTTTACCTTTTATCGCTTGATATATCATCTTGCTCTGCAGAGAACAACATTCTTCTGGTTGTTCCTCTAGCTGAATAGCCACTAAGTGCAGGAAATTGGTTCTGTCTACCTGGTAGCAAGATGTTTGAATGAGTTAGTAAAACAGGAATGTAATTCAAGGTGAGATTTTGTTGTTTTCATTTGATGTTGGTTGTTCTAGTAATAATGATGTGGGGCAAGTCCCAGATAGTAAAGTCAAGTTCCTTAAAGGAACTTGTTCCTCCCTTGGTATTTTTTCAGTGTTCTCAATGACACTTATCAATCCAGTGAGCACAAAATGAAGAAAACATAACAAAAATTAATTTGCCAAATGTGTCACACCTTCCTTATTTGCTTTTGGATTTGGGGAGTTTTCAAGCACTCTATGATTCTTTACCCCATGTTGTTTGGATTTCCTTACAGCTATGACTAGTTCAACCTCACCAGTATTTTTAATCTTGCCTTATCCCAAGGACAGATCTTAAGTTGAACAGGAGCAATTTTAAGAATTCAGGGTACTTAGTAAGCATAAAATAATAATATGACATACTGAGCAAGAATTATGCTGAAGGCTTTGTATATTCTAAGTTAATGCTAACATCACCCATACAAATTGTATATCATTCATCCAAGTGCACACAAGGATGGATGATTCCTTGACTATTCATAATGTGCATTTGAGAACATTGAAAAGACATTAAAGCACAACTAATCTTGTGAGACAAATTTAGCATTTGCAATCATCCAGTAGGTAAAAGATTTTTAGACAGTGTTGAAAACAGGAATATATTTCAAATAAAAACATATGAGGTTGGAAGGGTATGGTATAATCTGTGACATACATATATATATATATATATATATATATATATATATATATGTTTATAGATACACATACATATACAGTTATATCTCAAAATGTATTTTTAAGAACAGTGAAAAAGATGCAAAGACTACATGCCAGATCATTAACCTTGAATAGCATAATACTAGGAGTAAGGGGAAAGATACATTTTCAAATACTACTTCATCGATTTAATTTTTTTATCAAAAAGGATATTATAAGTTTGTAATTTGGAAGAAAGGTTTGTTTCCTAGGTGACAAATCAATCTTGATTTGCCAGAAGACAAACCTTGACCATAAAATGATAGCACTCATATCTTTCCCAATATTTTACAATTAAGAATAATGATCCACTGCTCAGTCACTCAGAAAAAAACTCCCTTTCATGATAAATGACAGTGTAAAAGAAAACTTGAAGAAAAATCACAATTCATTTTTTATATTATTTTAAAACATTTGTTTGAAAGGCTAGTGCATAAATAAAATATGTACTTTTTATTCTGTTCATTGTGCACTTAACATTTATGTATTTTATAGTTCCTCTATCTGTACATAAGTCATAGAGTTTATTGTTAATGGTTTTTTCTTTGCTGTCCTCATAAACGTAATTGCTTGTAGCTTAGCACCCATGAGTAACCTAGCAACAAGTCAGCTCTCCAGTGAGTAAGAAATGAATGCAAACAAAGTGTTATGGAAAAAGCATTCAGTTTAAGAATACTGGTGCATGTATGTTATTAAAAATCAATATGCAACATTCTAATATTGATAAATTACATAATAATAGGTATTGACTTTTATATTAAGCAACATTTTTTGCCTCTTTCATTCAGAAAAAAAATGGAGTCTACCTCAAACTGCACTATTAACTAGGAAACTGAATATTCATATTTTCCCTGGCAGTCTGTTCATTACAGATTAGATGAGAAAAGTGTTTTGGCTTGCTTTTACTGTATAGTACATGATTTTACTAGATTAAGTTTCACTAATATACCTTCCTGACAGTGATGCATTGCTCATTTCTTAAATAGTTTTAAAATAATGTTTTTTTCAAGGGGATGTGCTTATGGTACTGTACTTTTGAGGTGGTCAGTTTTTGGAAATACCATGAAGAATTCCACTTTGTGTTTCACATTTTAAGACTTTGATACATTTAATATTAGTTTCTTTTGGTGAAAGTTAACTTCCATATTTGCTGAATAATTGCACTTAGAAAATCTATCTCCTGTTTTAGAAGTTTAAGTTCATAAAGGAAGAATATTGATTATTAGGGAAAGCTACAATTTTATAGGATGATAATTTATGTAATAAATAGACTGAGATTCGGAGGGAAACACGTGCTGGTAAATACCTTTCACTAAGGTATTTACTTTATGTAAATAGGCTTCTACTTTATGCCAGGACAGAATTACCTGGCCCTTATAAATTTGATAGGTAGTTCACTAAACTCCAGGAAATCTCAGAGTCCTGTAGAAAGAAGATTGAGGTAAAGGACAGCAGGATGAGATGTGGCCTGAACATATGATTGTGCATATAAAATGGATGCATAGAGTTGCAAAACTAGAAAGCATCTGCTCCCTGGTGGAGATACATATTTTTTCCAAATGCCCTGAGTGTGTATTAACTTTTAGATTTTTACCTTCAATGACTCTGAATTTTTTCTCTAATCACAATTAGGATGTGAGCTCAACTCTGACTTCTTTCTCTGTCCTTCTAGAGGCCCCATCACCAAGGAAGGTGGGGGATAAAAATCATGAGACCCTTAAAGAGAGGGCTAAACACACTTAAGATGATAATTGTATTTCTTCTATAGGTGAAAAAACTTGGTTACTTATGTGATTTATATTAAACTGAGTCACTGTAAATAAATGAAGAAATAATATTATTGACATAGTAAAGTCATCAAAATATACCTTAGCTACAATTTATCTGTAAAGATGCTACATATCATAGCTGGAGTCACTAGTGAACTTCAGGAAGATGGCTTTTTTTTAATGTAGTATATGCACATTAACTTCCCCTTGCAGCATAAATGTCCCAATGGAGTTATACTGTTGAAAAAGTTCACTTTGGGAGGTTGAAGTCCTGGAGGACAAGAATAATCTTAAGTCTTTATCCAGTATTTGCTATAGTACATTACATATTATAAGCTTGCAACACATGATTAATCTTTTTTAAATTAGCATTAGAAGGTGTGTCAGAAAGATCCATAACAATCACTGCAATTATATTAAAATAACCTAACCTATATAATAAATGTTACCAGAAAAATTCAAACACTTAAAATACTGTATGCCCTTGTGGAGAAAATGTATAAAACTCTATTATAGACATACATTAATTACCAGAAAACTATTGTTAAATTGTAAAATTTATCTAAAAGGAACTGTACTTGTTATTGCAGGTTTGGTTACAAAAGTACGGCTACCTTCCACCGACTGACCCCAGAATGTCAGTGCTGCGCTCTGCAGAGACCATGCAGTCCGCCCTAGCTGCCATGCAGCAGTTCTATGGCATTAACATGACAGGAAAAGTGGACAGAAACACAATTGAGTAAGTAATGGCACTTACACTCCATTCTTTTTGGTCCTTGAGCCAAACTAAGTAGTCTGGAAAACTTTATATGAACTCCACCAACCATTACTCCATTACACCAAATGGAGTGATTTGTCTCATGAACTTTCTTTGAGATTATATAACCTAATTTAGCCCCACTCCTCCAAGATTTCATTAGTTATTTAAAGCTCAATGTCAAGTTTGCTCACCTGATTTTAGCAACATATTTTCAAAGTAGTAAGGAAAATATGAATGAGAGTTGAAGTAGGTGTACAGTTAAAGCCAGTACAAGAAGAGTGACCATGAGCAACAGTGTGGGTTGTGTACTGATGAGACTGGATAAAGAAAATGTGGCACATATACATTATGGAATACAATGTAGCCATAAGAAACAACAAGTTCATGTCCTTTGCAGGGACACAGATAAAGCTGAAAAGCATCATTCTCAGCAAACTGACACAAGAACAGAAAACCAAACACCACATGCTCTCACTCATAAGTGGGTGTTGAACAGTAAGAACACATGGACACAGGAAGGGGAACACCACACACTGGAGCCTGCTGGGGTGGGGCTAGTGGAGGGATAGCAGGGGGTGGAGAGATTGGGGAGGGATAACATTAGGAGAAATACCTAATGTAGATGACAGGGGGATGGATGCAGCAAACCATCACAGCACGTGTATACCTATGTAACAAACCTGCACGATCTGCACATGTACCCCAGAACTTAAAGAATAATTAAAAAAAGAAAGAAAAATAAAGAATCCTTGACACTCACAAAATTTACTTATTTTTTCTTACTTAGTTTGATCATGGTACATCAGCCTTCCACAATAAGAAGGACAATAATACATTTTTCTCTCTGCTTCCTCAAATAAAGGCACTAAATGTCAAAGGCTAAGTGAACTGCAGAGTAGTTACAGAACCTGTCTTTTGACATTTGATCTGGGGAACTTGCCCTGCTATATATCTTGAGAAAAGACATACTGTTTTTCTTTTGAAATCTTAAATACTTGGATTATCTGGACTCAGACATACTTAATTAATTCTGACATATCTAACTAATTTAATACATAATTTTGAAATTATATTTTGCCTTCTAATGTTTGCAGCATGATGTTAGTCATAATATTTTTATTTCATCAAGGCAGGGAAACCTTTATAAATAATAAAGGCTTTGAGATTAAACTTCAAAGCAGTTTGAAAATATAAACACATTACCTCCCCTAGCACTTTTGAGAGATGCATAAATATTAACTTTGATCTACATCTTGGGAAACAGAATCAAGAGGAAAAAGAATGTATTCTGCCACAATTAGAAACTTGTTGTAAATATTGGGAATAGAGTTTTGATATTTTGGACCTGCTGCCCTCTAATCACTGCAATTCTCTTTAAATACTGTAATATCTATAATATCATTTTAAGTCATAATATGCCCCTTGTCTTAAATAAATATAGTTTTAAGTTAATCAAAAGCCTCCAGCAAGTCCTGTGTTTTGCATATTATACCAAATTCTATTTAAATTATACTCCTCATCCCAGCATTTTGCAAAGTGCTGTGGACAGCGTTCTTGTTCGTAATGGAGAGCTGTTCGCTTCTGATTCATTTCTTGGATATGACACAATTCATAAAAATACAGATAAATTGAGGACTTGGGAAACAAATTAGTTTACGTTGTTTGAATGTCTAACTTGAATAGTGCCAGAATAATAAGGAAGTTTGTGATATTTATTACTAGTTATTAAATTTAAGAAAGTGAAGTCTTAGAAAAGGTTGTGTCTACTTTTCTGCCAGGTTTGTGAGCTGTTGGTCATTGGAAGGATGGGATGGAAAGGTTTGGTTTCCCAAAAGTGGCTGGAGAAAGGTTTTTGTCAGGAGGTAATGGAACAGTAATGTGCACAGGATTTATTTGGGCCCTTCATGTGGAAAGGGGTCCGAACAGTTTACTGTTCTCTGGCAGGAGGATGTAAAAAATGCGAAGGCGTAGAGAAGGACACCGGCCTTTTTTTGGGCAGAGTGGCTCAGATTCCAGACCAGTAAAAATGATCGTGTCACTGTGTGGGAGTTAAAGCAGAATTTCTGTGATATAGCATTATACAGAAAAGATCAACTATATAGGCAGCCCATAATTTAAAATCAAAGGGATTTTTTTTTTTTTGCTTGTTTGTTTTGGGGTTTGGAGCTGTTTTGTTTTTGTTTTTGTTTGAACAAAGACTTGTTCTATTTCAGGTTTGGATTTTCTTGGTGTCTTTTTAGGAATTGGCAGTGCATCTTTCTCTTCAAACAGTGTTTCACCTGGCAGTTATTTCTAGGTGAAACCATGAAAGCCTTGTTAACTCCTCCTCATCTTCCCTTGCTAGCCTGCCATGCCTCCTCTGCTCCCTTGTCTGCTTGGAGACTTCATTCTCATTGTCACTTCCAGTAGAAACCCTGTGGCTTCACTTGCTTCCTGCCTGTTTCTTTTCTACTGTTGCACTTTTACTCTGAAGGTGTTATTGCTCAAGTTACTCAGCTGAAATCGTGTACTGTTTTCGGAAGCATAATCTCCATCATCATGCTATTAAAGCAATCATCTGTGCTTTTATAATTTTGAATTTGTGCTAACAATCCATGCTGAAATCACACTCTGTTATATTGCAGTCAAATTATAAGGTATGAATTTTTATCTAACACTTATTACACAAAATATGAACTATAGTTATAGATCTAAATTATTCCTCAGTGTTAATATAATGTCTTAACCATTTTCAGTGCTTTAAACTCTTATATAATTTTAGACTCTTGTCAAGATCAATTGTTTTTAAATTAAATAATTATATCCTCCTTTGGCAGATAGACATGTAATGCTTTGAATTTGTAATTATTGGGTAATTAAAAGTAATGACAATTGCAGTAATCCCTATATTAAATTGAAGAAATTATAACCATTTTCAAGCAATAAATTAAGGTATGATCTTAAATGGCATATTACATTGCTTTGATATTAACTAACAAATGTGTTAGAGATCATAATACTTACTCCCTCCCACAGAATGAGTTCATTACTGATTCTTTTATAGATGCATAATTAATTTTTATAAGCAAGTTCCCTTAAATTTCTTGATGAATGGAACAATCTATATTACACATAAACTGTATCTATTTAGCAAGGAAACAAAAAAATAGCAAGATAATAAAATGAGTCTGCTATGTTTTATAATTTTAATAGTAATTTTTTCATATTAGTTTATCTTTTTTTTACGTACACAGTGGCATGCACTCAAGTGTCCTTGGGGAAATATTTCTTTTTTAACTTTTTAAAATTATTATGGATATATAATATATTTATAGGGTGCATGTTATGTTTGATACAGGCATATAGTACATAATAATCAAATTAGGGTAGTTTGGTATCTATAACTACAAGTATTTGCCATTTATTCATGTTAGGGTTATTCCAATCCTACTCTTTTAGTTTTAAATATACAATAAGTTGTTTTTAACTGTAGTCACCCTATTGTGCCATTTACTACTGTATCTTATACATTCTACCTAACTATATTTTGTTCCCATTATCTGCCCCTTCTTTACTATACCTACCTTCCTACTATCCTTCCTAGACTCTGGCAGCATAATTCTAGTCTCTGTCTCCATCAGGTTTTTTGTATTCTTTTTTTTTTTTTTTTAGCTCCAACATATATGAGAACATGCAATGCAACATTTGTCTTTTTGTGCCTGGCTTATTTCACTTAATATAATGTTTTCCAATTCTATCCATGTTGCTGCAAATGAAAGGATTTTAGTTTTTATGGCTGAATAATATTTCATTGTTTAAACATACCATGTTTTCTTTATCCATTCAGCCATTGACAGACACTTCAGATGATTCCACACCTTAGCTATTGTGGCAGTGGGATTGTTAGATCATATGATAGTTCTATTTTTAGTTTTTTAAGGAACCTCCATACTGTTCTCCATAGTGGTTATACTAATTTGTATTTCCATAAGCAGTGTATAAGGATTCTCCTTTCTTTAGACCCTCATCAGCATTCATTATTGCCTGTCGTTTCGATAAAAGCTTGCTTAACTGGGGTAGGATGATATCTCACTTTACAGAAATTTAACCTAATTAAAATTTATTTAAGACTGAATAAGTAGTTTTTTCAAGTCATTTCGATGAAACTATAGTGATATTTGAATTCTTAATTTGATAAATAAAATGCCTATTTAGATATACCAAGAACGTCAACATTTTTGGCTTATCAATATGTTTTATGATTATTATTCTTTAAATGGCCAAGAGAATACTGTCTATCTTCTTTTTCAACTTGGATATAAAATATATATTCTTGAGCAATTTATGTTCTTTTTTTTTATTTCTGAAAATACTCATAGCATTAAAACACTGTCACATCATAGGATGGGTCAGTCCTCATTCTAGTGGCAGCAGAAGGAAAGTTGATAGCTAGTAAGCAGGGACCTTAGGTTCCTATTCTGAAAGTAAAAAGTTCAAAGAATTAGTAAGAGCTGACACTAACTGAACTTGTGTTCACATTGAAATCATGGTGGCTTAATACACTTTTGTTCTTGCTCAGGTATTTAGGTACTTTAACTTTGCCATTTCAATCTTGTGAATAATCTGTGTGGTTATGCAGGCAGTTAATGAGTCTGCAGAAAAAAGAAACTCTAGACTAGAGTGAGCTGTCAGCTGCAACATTTTTAGCCCTAAGTTAATTTACTTTTAAAAATCTTCCCATGACAACTGGACTTGACTTATGAATATAAACAAAATCTAAGGATTTTTAAAAAGTAATTAAAATAAGCATATTTAAAAATTTCTAGAAGGATATTTAGGGACTACTATAAATAGCAAATATTACTTTTACTTTTATTTAAAACTTGAAAAAGTATGGAGAATGGAAACTTATTTAACATATTATGCTGGTGAATATTGTTCTTAGAACACTTACTGATAAAGTACAACATATGTATTTGGCAGTTGTTTTCTTTTTTTCT